TGGGCTGTGTAAACACACTCCACGAAAACAGCCGCGTGGCACGGCTGGCGCAGGCACGGCGCAACGCCCATTGTCGCTGCTGCAGCTTGGCACGAGGCCCCCGGACAGCGCGGCTTCGGGGCCGAACCAAAATCCTCGAGACTTGCGTTTCACGACAGCTTGCGCTTCCGCCCACAAGCGTTCAAGCCAAGTCTTCTCAGGGGGGGATCAAGGGCCGATTCGGGAACCATTGTTTTCTGTTAGTTGACACGCTGACCCGACGTCTTTTTTTTTTCTCTCCCAAATCGGCGATCAACTTTACCCTGTGGTGTCCACGGCGGCGCGCCCAAACATGGATGCGTTCCAATCGTCGCAGGGGCCGCGAGCGCCGTCAACTCCAGGGGCGACCGAGGCTTGGCACAAGAAAGGGTCGACAGCAACGATGAACGCGCATGCGCTCAAAAGGCGGCCCTGGCCGCGGCGAGCGCGGAATGCAATCGCCAGAAAAATATGACCAGGTAAGCCGGGGAAGGCAGCGGGGCGGCGCACGGGCGGCTCAATGTCGCGAAGAAGGCCTGCTGGAAGGCGCGCGCGCGGGCGGCTCTTATCCAGCTCCGAGACAAAAGGTTGAATCCTCTAGAACAATCAAGGAAATGCAGAGAGTGCAATTCTGACTGTCGACTTTGCGCGCGCGCCACGTCTCCGAAATGCCAGCAATATTACGTTCGAGTTGCCCTCCTGCGATGAATGATTGCTGTCTGCGTTTGAGCTGGCGCGCAGCAGCCTTGTCCAGCGCTTTTGAAAACATGCGACCGAGCATCTTCGCATCTTCATTGGGCAACTACAGGTCACGCATCTGCTGCGCCGCGTCGGCCCCGGGGCGTTTCGATATCGCAAACCACGAGAACTCCGTTAAGCGCCTCGGCGCAGCCATGACACCTTCAGTTAAGTCGGAGAATACTTCGCAGAAGATCGGCGCCGACGCGCGCGCGCAGTTTTCGCGGCCGCCCGCGCGCGCCAGACGCGCTGGGATATCGGCGTTCTCGAACTGCCAACAACATGCCCAGAACGTCGCACTGAGGCAATTCTGCGGCAGCGCAGCTAAGATCAATATTCCAGCTTCGAAGCATCCGATGGGACAGCCCGCTGTTGCCTCGATGTTCCGTTTGCCTCGAACTGGCCCCCCGCCTCAGGCATTCGGCGATCCCGTCGACAGGCTCAACGCGCCGATGGCTTCCGGCACCCCGCAGACGTTCAACGCGACAACGGTCTGTTTTACACAGTGCCTTCAATCTGGACACAACCCCTGCGCGCGGCCGGGGGCCGGCCAAAGCGTGGCCAGCGGACGCTGAATGTCCCGCTGAGACCCTGGCGGCAGGGCCCGCGCGCGGTTCCACCGCCCATGTCGGCGCACCCCTCACGCGCTGCGCGCCCCCATTTCGGCACACCCCTCAAGCGTTAGGCCCCGCCGGCAGGGTCCGCATCCGCCCCCCCCCCCCCCATCTCGACGCGCCCCCCGCCGAAGGCACCAGCAGCAAGGTCCGCGCGCGGTTCCACCCCAATTTCGGCGCACTCCCATGCTGTTACCCCCCCCCGGTGAAGTTGCGAAGCGCGCGCGCGGCCTTCGCGCTTCGCAGCATCATAAGGAGCTCCGCCGATGGCCCCAGCGGCGGGGCTCGCATGCTGTTCCGCCACCCATCTCGGCGCACTCTTGACGCGCATCGTGGCCCCGCAGGGAGCTCCACCGGGGACCCACGCGGGAGGGTCCGCATGCAGTTCCACCCCGCATCAGTGCACACCCCTTACACACTTCGCAACTTCATGGGGAGCTCCACCGAAGGCCCCAATGGCAGGGTTCGCATGCGATTCGATTCCGATTTTGTCACAGGGTCCACATACGGCGCCCCCGCCCAGCACATCGTTTCGCGGCCGCATAGGGCGCTCCGCCGAAGGCCCCAGAGACAGGGTCCACATGCGTCTCCCCCACCTAGCGCCGCGTAAACGGAACTCCACCGAGGGTCCCAGTGACAGGGTCTACACGCGGACCCTCCGCCCAATACAACGCTTCGCGGCCCCATGGGGAGCTCCACCACTGCCTGCGCGCCCCCCCCCCCCCACTGCGCCGTTTCGTGGCTCCACGGGAAGCTCCACCGAAGGTCCCACCAGCGCAGCCCGCGCGCGCCTTCCCTACCGAAGGTCTCACAGGCGCAGCCCGCGTGCATTTTCCCCGCCCAGAACAACGCTTCGTGGGCCCATGGGGAGCCCCACCGAAGGTCCCACTGGCGCAACCCGCGCGCGCCTCCCCCACCTAGCACAGCTTTTCGTGGCCCCACAGGGAGCTCCACCGAAGGACCCAGTGGCGCAGTCCTCGCGCGCTTCCCCAACTCAGTACAACGTTTCGTGGCCCCACATGGAGCTCCACTCCCAGTGGCGCAGCCCGCGTGCGTCTCCCCCACCCAGTGCAGCGTTTCGTGGCTACACAGGGTGTTCCACCAAAGGTCACAGTGGCGCAGCCCGCGTGCATTTCCCCCGCCCAGTACAGCTTTTCGTGGCTCCACAGGGAACCCGGCCGAAGTTCCCCACAAGCGCAGCCCGCATGCACCTTCTCCCCGCCCAGTATTCCATTTCGTGGTGCCAAAGGGAGCCCCACCGAAGGTCGCAGTGGCGCAGCCCGCGTGCGTCCCCCCCCCACCCAGTACAGCGCTTCGTGGTTCCACAGGGAGCTCCACCGACGGTGACAGAAACGCAGCCCGCGTGCGTCTCCCCCACCCCGTACAGCTCTTAGTGGCTCCGCAGGGAATTCAACCGTAGGTCACAGTGGCGCACCCCGCGTGCAGCTCCCCCGCCCAATATACAATTTCGTGGCTCCAAAGGGAGCTCCACCGAAAGTATCAGAAACGCGGCCCGATTGTGCTCCCCCCACCCAGTACAGCGTCTCGTGGCTCCACAGGGTGCCCCACCGAATGTCGCAGTGGCGCAGCCCGCGTGTCTTTCACCCGCCCAGTACAGCGCTTCGTGGCTCCACAGGCAACCCGGCCGAAGGTCCCCACAAGCGCAGCCCGCCTGTGTTTCCCCCACCCAGTACAGCGCTTCGTGGTTCCACTGGGATCTCCACCGACGCAGCCCGCGTGCGTCTCCTCCACCGAGCCCAGCTACTCGTGGCTTCACAGGGAGCTCCACCGACGGTCCCAGTGGTGCAGCCCGCGTGCGTCTCCCCCACCCGTGGTGCGTTTCGTGGCTCCACAGGGAGCTCCACCGAAGGTGACAGAAACGCAACCCGCGTGCGTCTCCCCCACCCAGTACAGCGCTTCGTGGCTCTGCAGGGAATCCAACCGTAGGTCACAGTGGCGCAGCCCGCGTGCAGCTCCCCCGCCCAATATACAATTTCGTGGCTCCACAGGGAACTCCACCGAAGGTATCAGAAACGCAACCCGCATGTGCTTCCCCCACCCAGTACAGCGTCTCGTGGCTCCACAGGGTGTTCCACCGAATGTCGCAGTGGCGCAGCCCGCGTGTCTTTCCCCCGCCCAGTACAACGCTTCGTGGCTCCACAGGGAGCCCGGCCGAAGGTCCCCACAATCGCAGCCCGCCTGTGTTTCCCCCACCCAGTACAGCGTTTCGTCGTTCCACAGGGAGCTCCACCGAAGGTCTCAAAAACGCAGCCCGCATATGTTTCCCCCACCCAGTGCAGCGTTTTGTGGCTTCACATGGTGCTCCACCGAAGGTCCCGCAGGCGCAGCCCGCGTGCCTTTCCCCCGCTCAGTACAGCGTTTCGTGGCTACACATGGAGCTCCACCGAAGGTCTCACAAGCGCAGCCCGCATGCGCCTTCCCCACCCAGGATTCCGTTTCGTGGTTCCACAGGGAACCCCACCGAAAGTCCCAGAATCGCAGCCCGCATGCGTCTCTCCTACCCAGCGCATCGCTGCGTGGCCACAGGAAGCTCCACAGGAGGCTCCAGTGGTTTCCGCGGCCTGCTTGTACCCCGTCCATTGCGGCACTCCCCGCGCTCCGTGGCCCCATAGGGGTTCTACCGCAAGCGGTGCCCACAACGCGTTATTCAGAATTGTACATGGTCGGGTCCCTGACCAGGGTGTGTGTTTCATGATGAATGTAGTGATGTTCGGTTTCGTGTGCATATTGCGGCGGTTTCTGAATAATGAATAGGGGTGATCGGTGATTGCGAGTACCAAGTGGAAGCATCCAGATAACACTAGCGACCAGGACGTGGGGCCCCTCATTCAAATCATTGGTGTGTATTGGGTCTGCTCTGGTGTTTTTATTCCTCCCCATCCCCTCCCCGGGGCAAGGCTGCGATGGCAGAGTCTGGGAAGGTTCGTGTTGTATTCCGCGCTGCGTCGTTCGACCATATCCCCGTCGGGGGCGTCCGCGCAATGGGGAAAGCCGTAAGCGGAATCTGAATGTTGTTCCTCTTGCCTCCCCTCTCTCCTCCTCCTCCTCCTCATGATCCTCCTTCTCGCATCCCCCCGTCCCCGATCCCCCTCCTCCCTCCCCCTCTTTTCCATCTCCCCATCATAAGGGTTGGAAGAAATCTGTTGCTTGGTGCTGGGGTTCCAGGTAGTTCCAGGGGGCTTCAGGTTTCCATGGGCTTCTAAGGGGGCGCTCAGAGGTTCGAGGGTGTCCCGTGCTCCACTTCCCTCCTGCTCTTCCGTGCCCTCCTTCTTGTTTCTTTGGCTGCTGTTCCTTGTCCTCTTGCGCATCCTCCGCCCTCCTCAATACTGATGCTTCTCCTCATGCTCGTCGTGGTCCTCGTCTTCCTCTTGCTCCTCCGCCTGCTCCCGCCTTGCGCTCGGATCCTCGGGCGCCTCTTGGATATGTTTGCCGGTGTTGCGTTATTGTTGCGTTTTGTTGTTGCCGTTATTGTTCGGTTGGATGGGTGGGGGCGCCTTTTGACGCCCCTAGCGTATGGGGGCGCGCTGCCAAACTTACATATTGGTGCTGGTTTTCCTTGGTCTCTTTGTATTCAAACTTGCATCCCATCCGTCGGCCTCGTTGTCTCAGGCGCAGATGGAGGAAGTGTGGCTCAAGATGGAAAAGGAGTTCAAGGCGTGCGGTATGCTTCTGGTGTGTGGGCGGGCAACGAGGGACTAGCGGCATATGGCAGGGAGAGAACGAAGGAGGGACAGAGAGAGAGAGACAGAGAGAGAGATATTGCACACACGCACATACATACATACATACATACAGACAGACAGACAGACAGACAGACAGACAGACAGACAGACAGACAGACAGACAGACAGACATACATATATATATATACATACGTACGTACGTACGTGCGTGCGTGCGTGCGTGCGTACGTAGGTACGTACACACATACTTACTTACTTACTACTTACTTACCTACTTACTTACTTACTTACTTAATTACTGACTTACTTACTTACTTACATGGTTTGCCATCCGCACGAGCCCACTGGCCCCTATCTGCGCCCACGCATCGGTCTGCGTGCACATGCTCACTGACTTGGCCACTCCAGTGAGCAGCGGAGGCCACCTCTGTGACCTGTGCTGCACCTGCACTCGCCGGCTACCTCTGTAGTGGCAAGCGGTTCCCCTTCTCGCTTGCCCAACGCACCTTGAGAGATTCATCCGAAAAATCCGTTAGAGCCCGCTGCAGGCCGGAAAATCCAGGAAAGCTGAAAGCACACAGAACTGGAGAACTCACCCTTCACCCGTGCAGCAGCCGGCCTCCCCTCTTCTTGGCCTTCTTCGCTCCCCTGCCCTCTTTCTTTCTGCCACCACCAGGAGGCCATCTTTGACCTTCTTGGCCGCTTTGCTCTCCGGCGCACGGTCGTAGTGAAACGTGATGCCGAGGGGCTTCAAGCATTGAGTGGCACGAAATAGCTTAAACATCGCCTCAACTTTCGGCTCGGACTTCAGAGCAAAGATCCAGTGCACCTGGTCCTCAGAGTTCAGTGGGAGGTGGAAGCAGCAGGTCGCGCGAAGCTCGCGCCCAGCGGGTGATGCTGCTTTGGCCCCCCATTCCTGGAGAAGGGCGAGCGCCCCCGTCACCTCCGTCTTCGCTGGGACTGACATCTGAGCGATGGTGGGTCCGAGCACGGCCTGCCCCTCCTGCACGACCTGGGCGAGGCGCTGAAGAACGCTGCGCATCATCGCGTCCAGCCTCTTGCCCTCCGGGTGGCCCTTGAAATCCTGTGCTGGTGGGCAGTTTTGCCGATCTCGTCGTAACACTCCTCCGACTTGTCCAGAAGAGCCTGGAGGTTGGACTCGTCGGCCGTTTCCATCACTATGTTGTCGTCCCGCGCGTAGGCCCGACGATCCCCTTCGTGTTGAAGGAGCGGCCTCGCCATTGCCTTGATCAACTACTTCTGGCTGCCGAGAGCCTCGTCGGCCTCCATTTCCTCGCCCGCGTCCGCATTCTCGGCGGCCCTCTTGTTCGGCAGCGGCTGAGGTTCGAACATCGACGTCTACGCTGTCTGGCTCGGGTGGGCTGTGGGGGGGGGTCGGCCTGAGGTAGCCCTCGGGTCAAAAGGGCTTCAAACGCAGATGAAGAGGATGGGTTCGCTGCCGGAGGTGGCAGAGGCGTTTCGGGCAAGTTTTCGCCGTAACGCTGGATGCTTCGCCCACGTGCCCCGGATCCCCGTCCTCGCCCTCTGGATCCCCGTCCTCGCCTTCCAGGTCCCCGTCCTTGCCCTCGAGACCCTCGCCCCCGTCCTCTGGATCCTCGCCACGTCCTACATACATACATGCATGCATACGTACATACATACATACATACGTACGTACGTACGTACATTTCTATAGCTTGCAATTGGGCCCTCCACAGACGCCGATGCCATCGCGAAGCGAGTGACTATGTAAAAGACAACGTCCATTGCAAATGTGCGAGTGCTCATCCTTTTCACAAGAACTCAACCTTGTTCACACATATGTATCTTGATACCGACGTCTTGAAAGCCTTGGTCTGCGCAGGCCTTTCGACGGCGGCCGTGAAAGGGAACCACCGTCGTCGTCAACAAAAATTGTGGATCCCCTCCGAGTCCCTGGGCGGGTGCAGAGGACGAGAGCGCACAGACGGAAGCGAACGGAACGCTGCGGGTAGCGCGAGCCAATTTGGTTGCGGATCGAGCGTCTCCCTCCCTTCTGCAAAACACTCGCTCAAGAGCTCACGAAATAGTTTCTATAGCTTGCTATTGGGCCCTGCCTAGACGCCGATGCCATCGCGAAGCGATTGACTATATACAAGACGACGTCCATTGCAAATGTGTGAGTGCTCATCGTGTTCACGGAAATTCAACCTTGTTCACTCATAGGTATCTTGGTCTGCGCAGGCCTCTCGACGGCGGCGGTGAAAGGGAGCCACCGCCGGCGTCAACAAAAACTCTGAATCACACACCTCGCATGCCAGTGGCATCAAGGGGAGGGTGTCGGAGGCGTTGGCGGCTGTGCTGGCGTCGGCGCTGTAAAGACCCCCTCCCACGAGCCCGCCTCCGCCCAGCGATCTCTCATGAGGTTGAGCAGCTTCTTCCCGTAGCGAACGATGTAGCGCACCCAGAATGGCCAGGTCGCTGATGGCATGCCTGGAGCGTCCTCGATCTCGTCAACGCTCAGGTCGAGGTTGGGAGCTGGGCTGGCCTCGGCCTGCGCGTGGAGGAGAATGGAGCCAATCTCCTCTGCCATCGGGCCGAAGTCGTAGCCCAGGAGCTCCCAGCACGGATTGGCCCAGCGGGCCTGAAAGGTGAAATTCGAGGTCGCCCATGCCATTGCGATGTGGCCTGTGCGCAAATAGCGTACCTGGAAGCCGATCGTCTGGAACAGGCCGTGTTCGTCGAGCCCGCCCGGCGCAAAACGGGGTAAGTAGTGGTCGGCGAGCGGGTGGCTTGGAGTGACGATGTTGACAGCCTTGATGAGTTCCGCAAAATCTGCGACCCCGCCCCCTCGGCGTCCAGAAAGAGTCTCCCTGACCGACTCGCCACTGTGACATTCAGGAGGTCGTGGCCCTTCCATGCGGTCTCTCCTGGCGTCAGCGCGCCGTCCGTGATGGCTCCCACGAAGCGGGCCGCCGAGTCCGTGACATGTGCGCCCGATGCCAAGACCCGGTTCGCAGCCCCGCCCACGCCCTCGACGAGGTTCGCGATGGTCTCTACCCCTCGGGCCGCGGCGGGGAAGACCGCGACGGGGAGCTCCGCCGGCACGGCGACGACCACCGCGATGCTCTTGGCGGTCCCGCTGCGGACCCCGGTGGAACTCTTGATCCACTGCCGGGCCCCGCGAGGCCACGCGGGGGGGGCCCGTGCTGCCCCTTGCCTTGGCCCCGTAGCCGCGGCGGGCTCAGCCGTGACCGCCGCGGCGAAGGCCGCCGTGAGAGGGGCCGCCATGGACTGGAGCAGGGATCGGCGCGCACCCCTGGAAGGCTCGGAGCTGGCGACGAAATCGAGGCAGGCGACGCAACTGATCGCGATCTTGGCGTCCCTATCGATCCCTTCGAACTGGCCGCAGGCGAGGGCACCCGTCTACTTGGCGCCCAGCTCCCGTCGGCCTGCTTCTTGGGGCCCTTGGGCGCCATGGCTGGCAAGAGACTGCGCGATGCACCAGGCCCAATGTCGGGTAGCCCGCGCCAGTGCTGCCTCGAAGCCCTTGAGGCGCAGGGCCATGCTGATTTGAGCCGCCGAGACTACGTCAATGTAGATGCGTAAACTAGAATCCATTCTCCATCGGCCCGTCTGTCTGAGCACTTCGAAATGTACGCCCAGAGCTGAGGCCTCCGAAGCGTATCCGGCTCTGGGGCTGTGCGGTGTCCAAACGACGTCTATGCCGAAGCCCCCCTGGATCCCTGCCAGCTCCCTGCGGTAGACCTCCAGGGGATGCGGGAAGAGGTGCTGGCCTGGCGGACGGAGCAGATTGATGAAGAGGCATCTTGTGGGGAACGAAGCGATGCTGCTTGTGCGCGCTTGGCCTTGGTCCCTGTCTTGAGGCCAAGCCCGATCACCAGCGCGCCCTCGTCCTGGCGGTAGCCTCCGTCTTCGGGGAAGGTCAGGTCGTCGGTCGCCAGGCAGAGCATCTCGGACGGCCGCAGGCCTATGTGGACCTGCAGCGCCACGCCTGCTCCCAGGCGAGGGCGGCCCCTGCTGGCCATCTGCGCTGCTGTCCACTTGCTCGGCCGCGACGTCATGGGCACCGCGTGTCGGACGGGCGCCGCGATGCTCCAGCCACAGATGACAGCATGCGAACAGGCCAGCTTACCCTGCAAGCGGGGGAAGCGGAACTCGACGGCGCTCGCCGTCGCGATGAACTCCGCCTTCCCAGCTCGTCTCGCAAGCTATGTTTGAACTCGATCAGCGCGACGCCCCACTCGTCCGGTGTCCGCGGATTCGCGCGGTGCAGCTGGCACCGCGACGCCAGCCGATCGGCGGCGCTCTTGTAGTGAGCTAGCGTCTTGGCGGTGGCCCTGCCCATCCAGGCGCGGGTCCGTGCCGGCCGCTGGCGGCCTCTGACAGGTCGCGGTTGGACTTCCCGGCGCGGTTCCACAATGGTCGTGGCCGTGGGGGCCCCAGGCTCGGTGTAGATAGCTCCATGATCTCGAACGTGAGAGCTTGTCGGCGGGCTGCCTCTCCGCGCCCACCCACGGTAGATGCTGCCCGATGTCGGCGACGGCCATGAGCGCCCCGCGGCATCTCAGCAGGTAGTTAAAGTCGATCGTGGACGACCTCCCCTTCGCAAAGGCCCACGCCGCGGCCATGTTGTCCTCCAGATTCACCCGCTTGGTCCGGTGAGCCGCAGCCGCCCGCGCCAGCTTCTCCAGCGGGGCGATCGCCGCCCGAGCTTCGCCCAGGGCGATGTTGTTTGCAATCCTCCAACGCCCCGCCAGCAAGTCGGCCCGCGTGATGTCGGGGTCCAGCGCGTCCTCCGGCGCGGGCGAGACAGGCACGAACGGCTTCAGCGTCCTGGCCTCGCCGCGCTTCGCAGCCATCTCCACGGCGCCGGGCTGGCGGACGAGGGGCGAGGGCATTGCCAGGTCGCAAGCCAGCTCCCCACATGGTCTCCTGAGCCCGCGGGCTTACGAGAGCGCCCGCTGCCCC